ATAATGAAACCCGATTATGTTTTGGTCCGAAAATAACATGCTATGATGAAAATTAACCACTGCTCAAACCACACAGTTAACAAGGTGAGTATTATTCTTATTGAGCGAACAAATCAGATACTAGACGGGATAACAAGATCATATGACGTGTAATTTAGCAAGCGTGCAGAGATTGGTCACGCTAGCTTGTCGCATATGACGGTACGTGCTATACTTCGTAGACAATGTAAACAGACAAAGAAGCAATTACAGCTGTCCCAATGAAAAAATGTACAACCGTATGTCTGTTTATAGATCATCAGTGTAGAAATATTCGACTCTAGGAACAATATTAATAAACCATTTCCAGGTCAAATGCTCCTGGAATAAAATTTATATATTGTCACGAACTGTTTCGCCACTTACTACAGCACGTGCCTCTACGATATTATTTTTAATTGAATTATTCCCGTCTAGTATTACGAATACCGAAACAGCGTTAGTGGAGTTTGTCTCGTTTGTTGGGAGAGCTTTGTTTTTTGTCATGGTTTCGGCAACGTTTCACTCATGTAGTTTTTCTGGTTTATTACACGACGCCACACCCTGTGGTTTAAGCAGCGATTATCCAGGCCAAGTTGAAGTTCCCGCTTTAAGAAATTGTACAAGGGACATTTCGAGGCAATGCGAGCTGTATGGATTAAAAGCAGATACAGCACTTGACACTGAATGGAAACTGCTGTTAGCAAGAACAGGTAAATCTTATGTACTGTCTTACCGTCTTACGTAGCGGCTAATAGTGGTGAACATTTCCATCATCTCTTTATCACAGACCTCACGATGGTCATGTTATTCTAAGAAAATCTTAGGGTGCTTTCCATTCAGCCCAAAATTCCGCAAGTTTCGGTTAGAATCAAATGGAATGGACCATTTCGGTTCGGTCCTACCAGAATATTTGGGAACGCCTTTGAAGCTGGTCCACTTTGACCGGTCAGGTTATTTCGGTCGGTCGAACCGAAATGTCCCCTTCCATTTGACAAAATTATAGTCCCCAGTACTTGTGTACCGCTCTTTTGTAACCTGCTTGCAAGAACGATGAGCAAACGAGTTCATCTCTTTAAAAATCGCAGGCTTTTATCCGCGACGTTAATATTTTGCAAACCTAATATTAACGCTTACGATAGCAAAAAAGATCTTTATTTGGACAGCGTTCTATCTGCATTTATTTTAATCACTGAAGGAATACTTATTCAAGTTGGATCGCGTAAGTTTATCGTAACACATTTGTAGCTAAAGTATACGCTTTAATTTTAAACGAGCGAGGGCGTAAAGCAACATATGCGCAAGCGTTACAATACCCTTTATTCTCCAGTTCCCCTCCCCCCAAAGAAGAAAATGGCTTTGAAGAATAGTAAAGAAATCGGCCATGGCCTTTTAACAAGGTTAACATTTATTTTTGCTACAGCTCTTTGCAGAATGTGCAAGCAACATTTCGCGGAGACAAACCAACAACAGAAAGTGACACCCGCACCAATGATTGAAGTTACTCCATGCGTAGAACTAGAGACTTCAGAAGCAAATGTAAGTAAGTAAACGGTAACCTTGGATACAGACAGTTATTCCAACATAACAAATGCCAAAATTCCGAAAGGGCTGGGTAACTGTGAATAACTGTAAACTTTGAAAATGACTCTGAAAATGATTTTAAGACGAATAGGTCACTGTTCGTTTCTTTGAATTCCTTTCGGTCTGGCTGGAGCGGGAGAATTGATAATGATAGCGGTATGCATGTAAATTCATATTTTCTTTTTTTAAAATGATGTATAACTTAAGTTTCGAACTATAATAAAAAAACTAATGCCTAGTGACAAAATAAACAGAAATATTGAAGTAACATTGATGTCTAAACGTCTTTTTTGTATGTTACAGAACAGCTCAAACTCATCTCCAGGACAAAGTGATACCGGTCAATCTGTTGAAGAGTTCGCAGAGAGCCTTGGACGTCTAACAATCGCTGATGACACCTTTCTGTCAGCAGACACAATAAGCACAGCTTCCACTCAGAGTGATGAGCCCACACCTGTGATCTTACATGAGCCGCGCTAAAAGCTGAGTGAGTTCCTGGCAGCATGCAAACTTGAACCGCTTGGAAAGCCATGGCTTTCTTGGAGTGATTCCTCTGAGCGAACAAGACAACGTCAAACAAGGAGAGCCACAGAAATAGTAGCAACTGTGCTAAAGAGCGTCACCCCTGATAATGCTGGTGAACTCTGGCGACGTTTAGCCTCTTCTACGGCTATGAACAAGGCCCTAGGTGTAAGCGAGTTGTCACATTCAGAGCATTTGTATTTAGAGGCCCTAGCAGAAGCGTACCAGAATGCAACCAGCTGGGATACCCGTAAACAAATGCTTTCGATTATGGCAGGGGTTGGAACTTTCAACGACATTTCCCGTTATATCCCGGGGTTGACAAGATACTGATACTCCATGGCTAATCTTCATCGATCACAGTTTGGCCGAGGCGCTCAAGTTCCACAACAGCCTACCACACGAATACGAGTAGACTTGAGGCAGCTTGACCACTTTCTTGGTTTCATCACGAGCCCGCATCTTGTTCAGGACCTTCCATTTGGGCAAAAACATCTCAAGCTTTCGTCTGGTGAAGTTATTCAAGTACCTAACGTAATCCGTATGATGATACCCGAGCGAGTGATACAACAGTACACTCAGTACTGTTTGGAGATCGACTTTAAACCATTCAGCGAAACTACTATGAGACGGGTACTCTTTGAGTGCAGTGCCTCTGTAAGAAAATCACTGCAGGGCTTAGATTATTTTGCAGCTGAAGGTGCTCGCGCACTTGATGATCTCGTGGCCCTCGTACGCCAAATAGGGGGATTAGATTCCGGCAAGGAGTGGGAGACTACAGTTGTGCAAGCTCTTATGACAAGCAAGCAGTATTTGAAGGGGGACTATAAGGTAATGTGAATTCTGACTCCAGAAAGACAGCTTGAATAAAACTAAAAGTACTTATTTTACCTCGTCAACAAAATCATTCCGTAAAACAAATATATATTTTGTACTCTTTTTCTTCACTAAATGGTGCACGTGTAACTAGCTTACATAAATTCTCGAGATTAACAATGCGCGCACGAGGATAGTTTTTTTTTCTATGGTTAAGGTTAAAAGTTATTCGCCCCCTTACGTTAATAATATATGTTAGATTAAAAAATCATTTGATTAACTATTATATTGAAGTATAAGCACAGACAAACAGTAATCTCAGTTTTGTTTTATCAACAGGTTCATGTCACAAGCCCCTCTAACGTAGCAGACAATTGTGTGTTGTTTGCTCTTAGCGACAGTAGTGATGCAGATTACCAGCAACAATGCAGTCACCAACACACTGATCTTTGTGACCGTTGTCAAAGTCTTCAGGAAACTCTGGCAAAGATTGAACGGGTCTTTGGCGAGACGACCTTTCCGACTCGGGACGTGAAAGACGAAGCGCTATTTATATTCCAGACAGCCCAGCTGGCCATAATGTCCTGGAAATGCCACATCCTTAGATCAGCTAACCAAGACCAAGCGAGAATAGATGCACTGGAGAAACTTGACGACAACACTGTCTTGATAATTAACGACTGGGCCATGAAGTTCCTGCCACAAAAATACAGAGTCCCAAACCGACTGGTTTGGTAAGCGAGGTATCTCCTGGCACGTTTCTGTCGTCTACCGTCGTGTGAGCGGGGTACTCCAGTGGCAGGGCTTTCTGCACATAGTCCAATCAAGGCAGTGCTGCAGTGGTAAAAATCATGCAGGATGTCCTGAATACCATCAAGCTGGAGCACAGTGAGATTAACAAGGCGTTCTTTCGCCAAGATAATGCAGGATGTTATCATTCGTCGTCCACCGCACTCCCATGCCCAGTGATATCCTCCTCCACCGGCATCGAAATCAAGCGCATTGACTTTTCTGACCCACAGGGTGGAAAAGGTGCCGCAGACAGGCTCGCTGCAACCTGTAAGAATCACGTCAGGACTTTCATAAACGAAGGAAATGACGTGACCAATACCGAACAACTGAAGAGTGCTCTTCTTTCGCATGGGGGGATAGAAGGAGTTCGAGTTGCTGTCATGCAAAGTGTTGAAGAGGAAGCAGTAGTAGATGACAACAGAAAGATTATTGGTATCAACAAATTAAACAATTTCGAGTTTAAAGACGAAATTCTCGTAGCTTGGCGCGCTTATGGTATGGGAAAGGGAAAAGAGATCCCATTGGAAACAACATCAGAAGGTTAGTCGGATGAAAATTCACAATTCTTCCTTTTTTAGAATTATTTCATCGCGCAAATATATATTTTTTTATAGTTTGAGTAAAAAGGTGTACGTTTATCGTTTGTTATAGCCTTCAGACGCATGAAAGGCATCCATTTCCCATCCTGGTACGCAGGAGGAGCGGGTGTCTGGTGTTTTGCTTTGTCTTAAGCCCCCCCCTTGTGGGTTTTGCTTTGTAAAAGACTTAAGCCCTTAGAGACCCTTTTTATAAATTTATAGTCCTTGATTTGTTCTACAAAATTTTTAAAACGAACATTGCAGAATATGGCGGTTCTGAAGAACATGTCCGGTCATAAGATGTAAAAAAAACGTTTCATCTGTTCGCGCAGCAAATTGTGGACCAAAGGGCACTCTTTCGAGATCCCGACCCTGACAGGCTCACAGGTAGAGCACCAAAGTGCAGAGTGGAAGTATTGAAGATCTGAAAGGTGAAACAGTTCTTTTTGTGTAAATCTTGTTTCTTTGTGTTTATCTACTTCAGAGCATGGCATTGGTTGGCTTTCATCTGAGTTTTCTTCTGGAGACTTTAAACCCTTAGCCCAAAACCGACTCAGTCAAGGAAGAAGCAAGAGAGACGAAAGTGGAGCAGGTTCATGATCCCACTGACAATACAAATGAATCGTCATCCGTGTTTACCTGCCCTCAGGATGGGTGGGTAATTCTGACCCCAAGTAAAACAAAGAATTCTTTCAAAGGCTGTCTTCTCTCGAAAAAAAACACCTATCTTTAGAGAAATGCACCAAGTCTTTAGAGAAACGGTCTTTGTTAGACCTTGCCAAACTAGACTACAAGTCCAGGTTGGAGGAGGGCACGACCAGTCAAGTTATTTCGTTTGCGTCTTTTAGGGATACAAGAGAGGCTACATCCGGCGAAGTAGAGGTAAAAGAAGGATGGGCGCTAAAGCCGAGCAAAAAAGCATATCGCCTTAACCAAAACCAGAGGGATTATCTAAATGCGAAGTTTACAATTGGTCAAACTAGCGGCAGAAAACTGGACGGTGATATCGTATCACGTGAAATGAGACGTGCACAAGGACCTGATGGTGTTCGTTTGTTCAAAGTATCCGAGTTTCTTACCCCGCAGCAGTGTACTTCATATTTCTCACGTCTTGCAGCGAAGGTCCGACGGCAAACATCCGACGATGCTGAAATCCAAGCTGTAGAAGAAGAGGAAAACTTTACCATGGCAAGAGAAATAATCCTATCCATCACGCTACAGCACCCCATCACTTACGATCAGTACGATACCTGTGCCATGGCCAAGGGAGGATCTCTGGAGCGACTTAAACTTGGAATGCTTCAAAACATTTGTCAGCAACTAGAATTAGAAGTACCTCCCAAGTCTGTTCGCCGCAAAGCGCTCTACGTTGACACTTGCACTTGCCAGCTCCGTGGGCAAAATATGTAGAAACAGAAAGTACTACCCTGCTCACAGACGTTTTTCTGTTTTGGGAATTTGGTGCGCGCACAAGATAAGCGATTTCTCGCGAGAGAGGGCGGAACGCGCATTTTTTTTTTATACGTGCACTCGACGATATATAAAAATGAAGAGAGTCTGTGAACAGGCTAGTTAAGTACACAAATTGTAGAGTTTTGCCTAAACGGTGTTCTCACTTCTCCTCAGAGGCTTGCTTCCAGGAGTGAATCATTCACCATTTGTTCTCGCCGGAATAACTAAGTCAAGAAAAAATCTATTTTGTTCATTGTTTTGCTTCCTTTACTTATTTTTGAAGTTTGTTTATGTTTAAAAGAGCGTTCCTTTTCGGAAAGTGAGATCATTTCTTGTTTGTCAGGGTGAGTCCTTGTTACAAATCAGTCAGTTACCTTTCAGCTCGCGACTATTTACACGTTATAAATGTCTCTTCCCGCTCTAACGAATCAATGACACCTTATCTTATAAATGTGAAGAGGTATTTTAGCCTGCATAACAGCCGCTTTATGAGCCAAGCGAGGTGAACGCAGCATTTGCTCGAAGCACGAAACGAGTGCGAAGCGCGAGACGAGGGATGGAGAAAAATAAAGCTTTATTTTTCTCCTCCCCTCGTCGCTTCTCGCGCTTCGCGCAAAATGCCACTTTCGCCTCGCTTGGTTCATAAAACGCCTGTTATGCAGGCTGGAGGTATTTCTGCAAGTTCCTTGAGTTAACCAACAATAACTTTGTTTATCTTCGCTAAACAACACTTCTAGAGGTCTCTAGAGAAAGCGTTACGCGCGAGAATGTGGAATTTTATAACAATCCACATCGCGTATTCAGCCCTGCTGAGTGGTTCTCTTTCTCGCGCTCGCGGCGTGAATTGGTCATAGTTAACTCAAAGATTATTTTTCTTACTTTTCAACAATTTTGAAGAGGTCTGGAAGGCTTTAAGGATGCGATAAGCTCACGCAAGTTTGAAGTTGTGTTGTGGACAAGCTCTTAATGAAACTGAGAATTTCTATTTACCTGGCTAGGGTTTCCTGGTTTCGGAGGAAAAATCATAAAAAAAAATCCAAAACAAAACTAAAGCAAGCTATAAAGTTGACTTTTATGCTTTTTTTTTTTGCTGTAGGGATTGTTGCAAGGTGGGAAATTCGGGAATAACGAACTTATTAAGGAAACATTTGTGTTTGAAATATTTTAGGAAATATTATACCACTCTGAATCAAAAAAACTGTGATGAATGTCTTTCACAGCCAGTCAGCATATGCATGTGTCCAGACCAATACAAATATATAAATCAAATAAAGCAAGAAGGTCTGTTCAGTGAAAAGTTTATATATTTTTTTACCAAAACAAAGGCCGAAAACAGAAGCTATGGAGTATTTCGTGACAGTTTGCTAACGTGACCTTGGCATGTAACCGATTTCCGGGTCAGCAGAGGTCATAAGACCTTGTGATGGCTTGAAATCGTAACTAAACGAATTCAGAATCGAAGTCAACGGTTTCGAATGCATTTTAATTCTGCTTTTTCCCCCTGAAGAAACTATTTTAAAATTGTGGTAACGGAGTTTCGTCAAGCAATGACAGTTTCACTTCGAAGTTGCGATCTCAATGATTTCACTGGTAGCAAAGTGGCTAAACAAACGTTTTTCAGTCGTCATATAAAAAGTTATTTACGGCTCTTACCAACACGGCTGAAAGCTAGAAATAACATTTTCACTGTAAAAACATATTACAAGCAACAGTAAGTAGTCCTTTTACACTAAACTTTGCGTTTAGTATGAATTGATTCAGCGGGCCGTCTAATTTGCATAAATTTGATTAACTTAAATTCTCAAATTGCTTACTCCAGTGTTAGGGCTGCATTTAATTTCCAGAGCTAAAACGTTCCCGTAATTTACTTCAATAGCCAAGGCTTTATTCTACATGGGTTTTTACTAGGAAGCGACATATACCAGAGGGCTTTTACAACAGTTAAAGTTCGCTTTCATTTTCTAACATTTCAAGAGACACAAATATGACCTTTTTAAACTTGTCGATTGTAAATGTTAAAAACTTCTTTCTTCAAATTTTTCTTTTAGGATTTTAAAGATTAAGAACGAAATAATACTCGGCTGAAGTTTCGATGTTAGGGATTGTTTCTTATGCGTTCACCGTTTTCTCGAAGTTGCGGTCGGATTCTGTTGTTTTTAAGCGCGAAAAGACAGCAATAAATCGATTTTTCAAACTTTTTGTTATTTCTCCCGTACAATGAATCGCTTGAACCCAAAACTATTTTTTCTTGAATTAGGTCACTAAAAGGGATGTTTTGGCAAAAGAAAAAAAATTCCATTTTTTTACGAGTGTCTTGCGATTTTCGATTTTCTCGGAAAATGGCTCTTAAGCGCTATCTTGAAGCCCTCTTAGGAGATAAGGAGGATGAAGTGGTACTCAAGCGGATTGCTGCCGTAGATAAAGCGTTGCGAGTGCCTGGAGTTGGTGCAAATCGTTTCATGCCAAGGGGGAGAGGCAGGGATAGATCACAAGTCCAGTGTTTTCAGTGTGGCCTATATGGGCATTATCAGAGGTTCTGTTCCTCGCGTCCACAGCCAGGTCCTCAGTCTAAGAGGCCTCGCCTTTATAATCAAGGAGTTGAGGCACCTCAAAAACAATGAATGTATTGACAGGATTAAGGCGTTTTCCCAATGTTTTTTGATCAGTTTCCAGTATTTATGCCGTGTGTTTCTCGGCATTAAAGGCTCCCTTTTCATTGTGTCAATCGGTGTCTGTTGTTGTTTCAATTTTAATTCACTCTTGTAAGTTCTGGATCGGGGTAGAGTAGCTCCTGCTGGTTCATCACATATGGTGACCACCAGACGACCTGTTTTCAGGCGAAGTGAGGCTGCTCCCTCATGATCGGGAACCCCAGGTCTTCCCATAGGTGATCTCTCTTTTTGCCCTCTTTTCCTTAGATTTTGGGTGGTACTAAGCGTGAAGCTGCTGTGGATAACTTTTACGTTCTTACGGAATTTCAACTACAGACAACAGCAATTAAACCAAGAAACGAGACCCTATGGGTGGATATGACTGGGGTTCCCGTTCAGGGGGGTGCGGCTGTGTGTTGGGAAAGTGTTATCTCATCTGGTAAGGTTCCGGATCTGGGGACTTTACATTTAAGGGATCCGGATTCCTTTGTGGCAGGTGGTCTTCACCGTAATTCAGCCGCCTGGGAGCTGGTACTTGAGGGTCATCCGTTGAGGAACTGTATTCTAGATTGGATTAAAATAAAGTCGACATCTTAAGTTTTTCAAGACCTTTTGCGGGAGTTTTCAAGAGAGGTAAGTATTCGTCTACTGTTCCACCTAAGAAGATTTTCCCGAATCATGTAAACTGTAAAAATTTTACGGAATTTATATCCAAGGAGATTCGGAATCGTGTTTTAACCGGCGCTGTTAGAGTCTGGGGGGTAGTGGGTGCCGATGATCCCCCCCATCTTGTGTTGCCACTCACGGTTGAACCTACGAAGCCTCGACTTTGTATTGACGCGAGGTTTCTAAACATTTGAATGAAAGATATGCCGTTTTCCCTGGATAAACTGAGTGAAGTGACTAGGTATGTTTACCCCGGATCGTTCATGACCAAGTGCGACGACAAGTCCGGGTATGATCACGTGATGTTGACAGAGTCCTCGCAATCATACTTTGGGTTTAGTTTTGGTGGCCTGTGGTTTGTTTGTACGACTCTTCCGTTCGGATGAAAAATCTCCCCTTATGTTTATCATACCATTGGTCTGGCCGCCATAGGTTTCTTGAGAGCTCAAGGGATTCCTTGTTCTCTCTATATAGACGATCGCTTAAATGGAGAGCTTTTGCGACCGACTGGGTCTTGGTCCATATTACCAGCGGACAGATCTTTGCAGTTCAGGTTGCTGGCAGCTACAGGTGCCATATTCGTTGTCCTTTCTGTGTTGGTTGATCTCGGTTATACAATTGGTATCAAGAAGTCGGTTCTTGTGCCGGTCACATCCCTGGGGTATTTGGGTCTGATCGTGGATTCCGTTCGACAATCGTTTTTGGTGCCGCGCCGTAAGATTGAGTCCTGGGCCTTAATTAGGGAGAAAATTCTTGCCTGCAAGAAAACTGTTTGGATCAAAACTTTACAACGATTTCAGGGGAAATGCATATCTTTCTCTTTGGCTGTTCCAGCCGCGAAATTGTTCATTAGAGAAATGAGTAGAGCGATCGCTTCTGACTTGGATGATGGGCAAGTGTCTATGACCGACGCTTTGAGGGAGGAAATTTCGCATTGGCGTTACCTTGACGACTGGAAGGACACTCTTCCGTGGAGAGACGAGAAGCATGTGCGTATTGCGATTTCTACCGATGCGTCCGGTTATGGGTGGGGTTGTGCAGTTCATTCACCTTCGGATGATCAGATTTTTCGAGATTATTGGAGTCAAGAGGAACTGTGTCTCGATATTTCTACAAAGGAAATGTTAGCTTTGTTGTATGCTATTAAAGCCCTTCCTGACGGAATTAAGGATTGCCGAATTGATGCTTCTATTGACAGTATGGCAGTATTAGGTGTGTGGCAGGGGTCTGGCAGTAGGAGATCCCCCCAGTTAACGTCAGCTACAAAACGACTTTATTTTGCTCTATCTTCTCGTAATGTTCAGTTGAACTTATCCTATGTACCATCTAAGGAAAATGTGGCCGATTTTCCGTCTAGGACAATGTCACGTGTGGATTCCAAATTGTCAATGTCAGCTTTTGAGAGGGTCGATAAAGAGTTTGGTGGAGTTGAAGGTCATTCGTTTGACTTGATGTCTTTGGACTCAAATG